GGCCTCTGAGGCAGTGCCAGACTGGCACACATCCTCTCCTGAGAGAGCTCAATAAACATTTGACTGCTCCTCAAGTCTTAAATAAATAATAAGCCTATAATAACTGGTGACAAATGAATATTTCTGCATTTAAATATCTAAAAGACTATTTTTAACTTCATTTATGGTACTTATATATAAATAGCTACAATACAAGATAGACAATGTACAATCCCTCATAATATTGTAATTATACGCTCCATGGCCCACAGAACAGTCTACACAATGGACACACTGAACTAGAACATGTCCCCAAGTTTGTAAAAACCACTTTGGTATATACAAGTGTGGCCAAGATTTCAAAATGAAAACAACAGAAGTTTGTGTGTTACACACGAGTACATACATACTAAATTTAAGAATTTATTCTTATTTGATATGTTCTTTATAAGGGCAGGAAAGAAAAGACTAATAGAGGTTGAAGCAGTCAGGGAAGCCATCTTCAAGACAGAAGAGTTTAAGCTAGGCTTTGATAGTGAGTCTGAACCCTCTATCTACCTCCTAATAAAGCAAAAGCCACATTCATCAGAAAGGACTGTGATGTGTCTTGGCAATAAGATGAGGTAAGCTAAAAAACATTAGGCTGGTTGGGCATGTGAAGAGAAAGCCTTGAAACCTAGGAAAAGAAGGAGCTGTAACCTTTTGTTGAACAATGAACTGAGAAGACACAGATTTCTGCAGGGCACTTCAACGTGAACCCCAGCTCTGGCATTAACTGTGTGACTTGGTGCGTTTTTATCCTCCAGAGCTCAGTTTCGCCATCTGTAAAGTGGGCATAAAAACCTACTTTATGGTGTGGCTGTGAAGATAAGGTTTGCTACATAGATGTTTCACAACTTTAAAAGTACTTTTTGTCAAAGTAGGTAATAAAAGTTTGTTAATACCAAGAAAGTTTTCAAAAGAATGACTTGGCAGCGAAATGAAATAATCTAAAAAGGAGATATGTGTAATACCCTTTGTAATACTTTAAGCAATAAAAAAGAATAAAAATAAAGATGAGTATATTAAAAAAATAAATAAAACATAACAGGAGGAGTTGAAGCTCAGGAAGAGAAGGAAACAAGTATTTCAAATTCAGTTATCTAAATGGACATAAGACAGTAGGGGGTAGGGGAGGCCTTTGGATTGTCAAGGACGGGGGAAAATGGAGACATATGTAATACCCTTTGTAATACTTTAAGCAATAAAAAAGAATAAAAATAAAGATGAATATATTAAAAAAATAAATAAAACATAACAGGAGGAGTTGAAGCTCAGGAAGAGAAGGAAACAAGTATTTCAAATTGTCAGTTATCTAAATCATCCAAGATCTCTAAAACAAAGGAGGTGGCCTGGTTTTTTATCCAGTCCTGTGGCCTGTGGCTGCAATGTGTTGATCCGAGATAGCCTCCCTTGAAGGGATGCCTCTCTGAAGTGGAGGCCTGGGCCAGGCCATCAGAGCTTAAATCTGACACTTTCCAAAAAGACAAGCCAGCTGCCAGGGATACACCACAATCACTCCTGTTTGTGGTGGTGCTGGTGTAAACACTCCTAGTGTGTTGCCAGCGCTATAAAAGTACAGTGCACACAATTACAGTACAGTCCATATGGCCTAGGTTTTCTAGGTGCACCCTGTGACATTTGGAAGGACGCATATCTCAGAACATGTCCCTGTTGTTTCATGGCACATGACTCAATATTCACATACATGTTTTCAAAGGGTCATATTATTTCTTTTTTAGTTGAAGATGTCTTTCATGAAATCAAATGAGGAAGCATTTCTAAGCCTTTAAGGTGATGTGGGTTAAAGTCTATAAGCTCTTGGGTCATACATGTATGTATGGTATATGGACTCTAGTTGTTCCACTTGTTCTTGTGTTCTGGTAAAAACGAAAATGTACACATGTTGCTATCCCTTTCACCGTACAGTTTTAATTCTTATAGTTTGAAAAATGTGCTTTCTTGCTTCTTTATCTTTCTCTATATTGCCAATTAGCAGTTATTTACCTGAATGGATGAGAGATAATTCATAAGTACATGCTTTCAAAGCTCATGTTATACTATTAGATGTACTTGCTGTGCAATTTTTTTATTGGCTTTATAGGTACATGCTTGCTTCTGCTTTGGTTTGCCTTGTAAACCTTAGTCTGAATACCATGGCAGTCAGAAATTTTCTGGGAAGTGGGAAAGATTACTTTTTGCAATGGATAGAGAACAAGAAGTGAAAAATAGCTGCCTTGGATTTTAGGGGTTTTTTTCTTATTACTTGAAGAAAGAACTTTAATTTACTTATTATTTTCTCCTAGATTAGAAAGAAGGCTAATGAAGAAAAGTGACACAAATCAGGTAAATGGATTTTAAATTTCTTTATGTACTCTTGATGCTTGGTCTATATTTCCCGTGTTTCCTACTGCAAAGAACTGAGCAGTTTTTGTGGCCAACTTACAGGGAATGGTTTGGGGATATAGATGTAATAATCAAACATATTTATATGATTTAATTAATTACTTTTGTATGTGTATTTAATCACACATTTATATAGAACTGTATTAAAACTAATGCATTTTTCTACCTCAGAATAATTTTTTCTAACTCTTTATATACATATTTGATGTTTTTATTATTTCTATGTATATGAACATTGAAGATCTCCACTGTGTGACAATTTGTAGATTTGCTTTGTTAAATCTTCCTTCTTTTCTTCCTTTCTTCCATTTATTCACTTATTTTATTTTGAGGTAATTGCATGCACACTGTTTAAAATTAAAATAATACTATTATAGCCATTCCCTGTTCGTTTTATACTCCTATTACTCCTTTGCCCAAAGATAGCACTTTTCAACTCTTAGTTATATTTTTCTGGTGTTCGCTTACCTATTTCTAAACAATACAGTGTAGGCTTTAAGTGCCATTTATTAATTTCTGTTTAAATTTTAGACTGATATATTGATTCTCTGCTGAGGACTTACCTCTCATATACAACCCTTTCCTCTCAGTACACACCTACTCTTACTGTCTCCCATTCTCTGGGTGCAGTCATGATACAGTCTGTGGTTAAATACATATTTAATGTTTACTTTATTATGACTATATTTTGTTCATGACTGAACTTTGTGATACTTAATGTTGAACCGACTCAGGCCATTCTGCTTCACAGTTCGTTGTGTATTAGCTGTTTCATTTTTCTGGAAAATTTTTGACTCTTTTCTTTATCCCCATGTATGGTTTTTTGATGCTTGCAGCAATCCTTTCAATTCAGAAACTCATGTTCTTCAATTTGGGAAATTTTCTTGTAATATTTTAAAAATAATTTTCATCTTATTCACTCTTTTCTGCAAGTCAGTCTGTTGTATATTTGGACCTACTGGTTTAACTCTCTAATTTTTTTATGTCTTTTTCTTAGCTATTTTTCATCTCTGCATTTTTTGTGTAAGTGTATTGTTAATCCTCACCGGAGGATATTTTTCCATTGATGTTTAGGGAGAGTGGAAGAGAGAGGAAAGGCAGAGAGACATCAATGTGAGACAAATATCGATGTGAAAGAAACACATTGATTGGTTGCCTCTTGCACCCAGGGCCCAGGCTGGGGAGGAGCCTGCTACCAAGTACATACCCTTGACCGGAATCAAACCCCAGGACCCTTTGTTCCTCAGGCTGATGCTCTATCCACTGAGCTACACTGGCAAGGGCCATCTCTTTGCATTTTTGTTCTAGTTTGTGAGAGGTTTTCTTAGTGTTTCTTGGACTTTTAATTTCTGCTAGGATATCTGTAATTTCAAATTAATTTTTAAAATTTGTCTCTGAATACGTTTTTTTTAAAAAACAACAACACAGGACTGTTCTTAGAGTATTATTGCTATTAGCACAATTGTGGCCACATCTTTTTGGAACAGATTCAAATTATTTGCTTTACATGGCCAATAGAATGCTCCTAGATTTATACACCATTTTCTTTACCAACCATGTTAGCTTCCCTGGGCAATATTTTGCATAAATGACTAAAATGGAAGTAAAATATAAAATAGGACTGTTTTTATTTTATGGGTACAATATTTTCTCGTTTGCTTTGAGAATCTCAATTGAATTATTTTGCTGTCTTCTTGTGCTCTTCGCACTTTTTCCTTTGTGTTTACTCTTCCTATCAGCTTGTTTTGGTCCCTGATTTTAATGGTAGAAGATTTCTCAAATGAATGGTGAACCTTTAGTTTTCTGTTTATATGTAGAAATTTATTACCTAATGGGCTTCACTGGAAGGTTTTTGTGCAGGGACCTGGCCATTTGAATTGGTGACTCCTAGACCTCAGAATCTGCAGGTCTTTTTTCCTTAGATCTTTCAGTTTCTCCAAACGGCTAAAACGCTACCTATGGGGATTTGGTAGTGGTGGTGGGGCGGGGCGTCGGGGGCAGAAGAGGGAGAGGAGCCAGAAGTCTCACCATCTGAGCCTGCAAATGCTGAGATCTTAATGATTCCCTTTCAGCCTGATCTGACATCTCTGAATCTGAAGTATTGCTGTATCATTTTCTCCAGAGAGTAAACTGCCTCCAGTTGTGGGAGTAGGGATGGCTTGTCTGGCTCTACAAGGTGGGGAGAAGATTGAGTTCTAACTGCCCCCCCCTTTTTATTGTTTAAAACAATACAAATTTATTATCTTGCTGTTCTATAGGTCAAAAGTCTGACACGGGTCTCAGTGGGCTAAAACCAGGGTGTCAGCAGGGCTACATTCCTTTCTAGAGGGTCTAGAGGAGAGATCCTCCCCTTGATTTGCCCAGCGCCAAGAGGCTGGCTGCACTCTTTGCCTCTCAGTCCCCTTCCTCCCTTTTAGAGAAACAATAGCAGGTCAACTGCATCTCTCTCATATTGCATTACTCTGACCTCATCTTCTGTCTCCTTTCACTTTTAAGGACTCTATGATTACATTGGACCCACCTAGACAATCCAGGATAATCTCCCTATTTTTTTATTGTGGTAAAACACACACGCAATATAAAATAGACCATCTTAACCATTTTTAAGTGTATATAGCACAGTAGTGTTAACTACATTCAAATTGTGTGCAACAGATCGTTAGAACTTTTTTATCTTGCAAAATTGAAACTCTACACTCACTGAATAACTCTTCTTTCTCTTCTGCCCCCAGATTCTGTCAACCACCATTCGACTTGCTATCTCTAGGAGTTAGACTACTTCAGACAGTTTATGTAAGTGGGATCTTAGAGTATTTGTCCTTTTGTGACTAGCTTATTTTACTTAGCATTAGTTGCTTCTACCTCTTGGATATTTTGAATAAAGCTGCACTGAACATGGGTGTGCAAATACCTCTTTGAGATCTTGCTTCCAATTTGGGGTGTATACATCCAGAAGTGGAATTGCTAGATCTTAGGGTAGTTCTTTTTTTCTTTTTGAAGAACCTCCATATTGTTTTCCACAGTAGCTGCATTTCCACCAATTGTTGTACACAAGGGTTTCCTTTTCTTCACATCCTCGCCAACACTTGTTATTTTTATTTTCTCTGTTTTTGTTTTGTTTTGTCTTGTTTTTATAGTGGCCATCCTCATAGGTGTGAGGTGACACATTATTTGGTTTTGATTTTCATTTCCCTGTTGATAAGTGATGTTTAGCATCCTTTCATGTACTTCTTGACCAACTGTATATCTTCTTTGGAGAAATACCTATTCAAATTCTTTGCCCATTTTTCAATTGGATTCCTTGTTTTTGGTATTGAGTTGTAGGAATTCTTTATATATTCTGGATATTAACCCTTATTATATACTAGAGACCCGGTGCACGAAATTCGTGCACTGGTAGGGTCCCTAGGCCTGGCCAGCGATCAGGGACTATTGGGGCCTTCTGGCTGCTCACTGGGGCCTCCCTTTCCTGGCTGCTTGCCG